CACGTTTATTTAAAGCAGTGGTTCTTAACCTTTACCGTGCATTGTGAAACCTGCACCCCTTTGGCTTTCAGAAAGGGCATCTCCCACCCCCAGGGGGTGCGTGCAGCTCAGGTTAAGAACCACTGGTTTAAAGTAATCGAGGAATGTTACGTACATTGGTTGTGTACATTTGTTGTGTACACATGGTGTGTACATTTGTTGTGCACATCAGGTGTGTACATCGGGTGTGTACATGTGTTGTGTATACCTCTTGTGTACATCTGTTGTGTACACATGGTGTGTACAATTGCTGTGTACATCAGGTGTGTACATCGAGTGTGTACATGTGTTTTGTATATCTGTTGCACGCATCTGTTGTGTAAACATGGTGCGTACATTTGGGACACATGCCCCCCCAATATTCAAATATGCTCAAAATGTCCCCCCCCCCAATATATTGCTATAACAAATAAATTGCTATGCTATGTAAATGAAAACAACAATTTGCTAAACCTTGGCCACAATATCTGGACTTGTCTTCACGTAAATCAATGCTTAGATTTCTGTTTATATGATTGTGGCTATGGTTGTACTTTATTAATCCCTAATCTCTGCCATTACATACAATGAAACAAGAAATGGTAAAAAATTAAAGTAAAAACAGAGCAATGTAATACAATACACTCTTAGACATTATTGTAAAAAATAAATTAAAAGTCCATCCCATGTGTTAGTGAATTTTTTAATATTTTAGGCAGGAAATGAGTTTTCAAATTTAGATATTTTTCTGGGTTGGGACCCCCAGACACCCTGGAAGATTTGGTCCCCCCCAATGTTGACTCCATGGCTACGGCCTTGATGTGCGATGTGTATATCTGTTGTGTACCGTACATCTGTTTTGTAATGTTGTGTGTACATATTCGCACACCTTTTGCACTATTTCCCCGCATGGTAAAGACATACTAGAATATAGCTAGCTGGTGGTGCCATGGTGAAGGGCCTTAAGAAACAAATATATACTGTAAATTCTAGATTTTAAGCTTTCGTGACTGCAATGATTCATACTCTTTGGTTTTATTCGGTAAAGTCACGTAGGTAAAATAAAATAAACAATTAGATCACGACCTTTCGGAGGCAACACAAGCTTCCGTCTTCAGGTGGAATAGTCACAGTAGAATATCTGTGTCAAGTGCACAGCTCTGAGATGATCGGGTTTATATATAGGTTAAGGGGGGGGAGGAGCCAGAAAGGCAAGTGGGTGGGTGGGAGGGCTGAGTTAAGCCGCCTTTTGTTAATCTGTAGGGGTCTCGGGGGGAGGGGGTGGTGGACTGCAGATAAATGCGATTAAAACCCTTTTGTTATGTTGCAGGGTAGTTCGGAGGGAGGCGATGGCGTGCGAGTACGCCCCATTTTAGAAAAAAACACGCATCTAAAGTTTGGTATACCACCACTGAAAATTGCTGTAAAATTAAAAGGCAGCTACCGTTTGACTTGATTTATAACATCTTTCCAATGGTTGCTTAATTTGAAACCATCCTCTCGGTTGAAGTTGTGTCTGTGTTTGTATATCTGGATGGCCTCGTGGACAAATCTCTGGTAATAGCCGAGGGGTTTGCAGAGTACCTTGGTATCGGAGAAAACAATATCATGATAACCCACAGCGTTGTAACAGTGACCAGCTACGGCAGAAGACTTCGTTCTGCCGTGTTTTAAATCTGATTTGTGCTCGCGAATTCGGTCAGAGATATGTCGTTTCGTCTCCCCGATATAGCAGTCACCACAGATGCAACTCAATTTGTAAACACCGGGGCACTGTAAATCAGGAATTACATCCTTTATGGATGGGATCAGATCACGGATTTTGTGTACTGTGTTGAACCGGACCTGGATCTTGTGTTTGTTTAGAATTTTGGAAATCTTTTTAGTAACGCCTGCTATGTATGGTAACGCGATGATTTTGATCGGAGTATCAAGTGGTTGTTTCTGTATGGTAGGAGAAACAGCTTGACGGATGGTACGGTCAGAGTATCCGTTCATCTTGAGGGCCAGATGTACATGTTTTAATTCACTGGTCAGGTGGTGTTGGTCAGAAATGCAATGAGCCCTATGGTATAACGTTTTTATGAGAGAGTTCTTCTGAGTCGGGTGGTGGTGGGAATCAGGTTTCAAGTAGGAGTCTGTGTGGGTGGGCTTCCTGTATTAGACTCTCTGAATCACATTTACAGTAGCCTTGATAATAAGCAGTACTGTGCCTGTCTTTTTCTAGACCTGTCCAAATCTTTTTATACAGTAGACCACAACACCCTGCTTAGTAAACTAAGTTGCTTCGGTTTTTCTGAAAACGCAGTAAAATGGTTACAAAATTGTCCTTTTTCTCGCACCCAAACTGTATTCACAGATGGTTGGAGGTCAAACAGTGTTAAGATAACAAAAGGGGTTCCACAGGGTTCCATCCTCGGCCCCCTTTTGTTCTCTCTTTATGTCAATGACTTGGGCAATGACCTGGATCATTCCAGGGTAAATCTTTTTGCAGATGACACGATACTGATTACTGCTGGCCGCTCTCTGGATGACATGATTGCTAAGCTACAGGGTGATTTCAACAAACTACAACATCGGCTAGTTGCTCTTAAACTAGTCCTGAATACCTCCAAAACCAAAGTACTATGCTTCTCACCAGGACTAAAACAGGAAGTTATTTTTCCCCAATTACATTCCTTAAATAATTGTCAAATAGAGCAAGTCAAGATCTATAAGTATCTTGGGGTCATCCTGGATTCAAAACTGAAGTTTGAAGATCACATTGATTATATTGGTAAAAAGACAAAATTCAAATTGGTTTTCTGTATCGACACAAGCACTGCTTCCCCCAATGTTCCGTTTGGAATTGATAAAAGCTACCATACTGCCTCTACTTGACTACTGTGACATCGTGTATAAATCAGCCCCAAGTACTGTACTGAAGAAGCTTGATTCCATCTATCACTCGGCCTTAAGATTTGCATTGAACTGCCCATATAGGACTCACCACTGTGATCTCTACATTGGGTCAAACTTAACATCTCTTAATGTTCGACGGCTTGTGCACCAGATCTTATTTATTCACGATGTACATACAAAAAATCCGCAGACTACCTGCTGGATCTTCTCTCTGTTCCAAAGAACAAATTTGACCTCAGGTCTTCGCTCATTTACCAGCTTCACATTCCCTATTGCCGTACAAAAACCGAAGGGCCGTTGCTATTGATGCCCCCAGGGTCTGGAATGCTATTGCCAATAAACTGCAACTTGAATCACTACCTATGAGATCTTCACTCAAAACTGCTGTAGAGGAGAGTTGTACACCCCTAGCTGCCACAGCTATTCACTGGCCTACAATAAAATAAAATGTTTCGCTCCGGATGACCGCTGCAAAGTATTAACTGTATTTTGATTTAGTGTGGTGATCTTAAAGGTCCTTTGAAAAATGTGATACTCCGACTGATGCTCCTGTTGTTGTGGAGTGACTCATGCAGCCAGCTATGGCTCTAGGATTTGGTGTTATATGTTACTTATGTAGTTTATTGTTAAAAATTCGGTCAAAGTCTCTATAATCACTGTTACATTGCATTTATGGCTTTATTTTGGTGATTTCGAAAACGTTTTTGTGGTTTGGCCATGTTTTTGTTTATTGTACGGAGTTAGACTGATGGCCTTAATCTTAGTTGTCTTGTGCTTGTTGTTGTTATTTGACTTGCATCCCACTGGGATTTTTGCACACAGTGTTGGTGTACGGTGTTATTTCAGAAAAATGTTGATATTTTGTTCCTGAATTTTCTGTTTGCACAGTCACGTAGTCACTTTAAGATGTTTTCTTGTTCGTGTTTTTGTTTTTTGTTTGTTGTGGTTGCACCCGATTCAAGAGCCGAATGGCTCACAGGGCTATACCAAATAAATGGAACTATGAAACCATATTTCCATTTTGAAAATAAAACATGCTTCAAATCGCTTTACACTATTGTCATTGTAGTGCGTATTTAATGTGGCGCTACACTCTGATATTGTAGGAGTGTTGTTATGACAATTAGTGTTGCTATAACAGTTCTATATTTATTTAAAGTTGCGCATTTTGATGTGACGTCACATTTCTCACCCCACCCCCCCTCGTCACACATCGTCACAAATGTATGACCCTCCCCCCCTAGGTGCGTGAAGTCATTTAATGACGGGCCATTACACAGACCCCCCCCCCCCCCCCCCGTGTAGCCTATACAGTATTTGACATCCCATCAGCCACACGGCCCTTCCTTCTTGGGGTGCGTAGTTTCAGCAGCGTTGGTTCAACACAAGCAACACTCTGGGACCCGTGTCGACACTCCAGGGTCTCATCAGCTGGGGTCACGCCCGCTCGAGACGATGCTGGTGGAACTGACAGTGGTTGGTTATGGGCGAGGGCGCTCTCTGTGAGATACGGCTCCTAAGTTCGACGTGCCGCGACAGTTGAATCCGCATCTTTATTTGTCCCGGTGGAATCCGATGAGCTATGAAGCTCTTTTTTGTGTCACCGATTTCCAGTTGACACGACGGGATTGAAGTAACACGTGCTCGACCCCTTATGCGTAAGCACGGGGCGCGGAGCTACCTGCGCAGTAGGCGGGGCTACCTGGAAAGTGAACGAGGCTACCTGGGTAGTGGGCGGGACTACACGGGCAGTGGGCGGGGGCTATAAAAATGAGCGGGGCATACTAGAGAATGGGCGGGGCCGAAGTCAGCTCCGGGGGCGGGGTTAGCGAAGCAGTGGGCGCGGCAAACGGGAGGAAGTTCCCCCGCAGTCGCGTGACGCTATCCACACGCGCACATCAAGTCGTGGTGACGTCACGCACTTCCCCTACCCAACATGGCCGCCGGTCGAGATTCAAGCGCGAGGCCCGGGGGGCGTCTTTCCTCGGCCTCCACGCGCGCTGCAAGAGTCGCGGCGGGAGAGGATGGCGGGGGGGGTTGTGAGGGGTAGGAGGGTCACCCCTACCCAACATGTCCGCCACGCGAGAGGGAGTCACCCCTACCCAACATGGCCGCCGCCACGCGAGTCTCATGTAACACGTCACGAGGCCTCCCACTACGCCAGTTCCTCCACTGCCCACGTGTGCAGGAGAGCGGGGAGAGAGGAGAGCGCAGAGGAGAGAGAAGAGGAGAGAGAGGAGAGGAGGCGAGAGAAGAGGAGAGAGCGAAGCGAAACGTCGAGGAGTAATAAGTGAGAGGTGACTCGCGGCGTGAGACCACTGCGAGGTGAGACCCGGTGGTGGTGACCCGTGGTGGTTGTGCTGCGTGGTGGTGGGCTGGTTGGTGGTGTGTTCCCTGTAGCTTTGGTGCTTGTGGCTTTGCCGCCCTGTGGGTGTATGGAGGCCTCGTGGTTGTTGGTGGTGGTTGTGTACCGGTGGAATGTCCAACTGCTATGGCTACAAAGCGGGAGGATGATCGATGCCCAGGGTGCGTTGACCTGTTCGTCAACGATCTTGTATGCCAATCGGCATGTTCTGTTTACGTGACAAACCTTACTAATTAGCTGTATGGGGCGGTGGCGGGTTTAACGACGCATGTGTATACTTAAGCGATCTAACCCAAAAAAACACATTTATTGTGGATGATATTGGTCGCGAAAGCCTATGGCCTGGTGTTAGACTGGTAATAGCTGGCTCGCTCTTTGAGAAGAGGAGCTGGAGTTGTTTTTGCTGAACCGTGACCGTGCTCACCATCATCAGACCCACAGACACGAAGGACCCCGCCTCGGTGTTTTATTGTCATCGAACGCTTCCCTGCCTCCACTCCCCGCGAGCGATGGCGCAGTTTGTTGAGAAGTGCTGCCGGAGTAAGGCTGAACGATTTGGGGGACTCGTCTTCTTTGGTTCTTTCGGTAAAGTCACGTGGAGTGAGAATACAATTATAAATTAATAAAATAACACTATAAAATTCTCACGACGTTTCGGCCACAACACAAGTGGCCTTCTTCAGGTGAAAGGAACAGACCTGTCGGGACGACAGATTTTGCGATTTTTCTGACATTGCGATTTGCTTTGCGATTAATTTTTTTAAAGTCAAGCTTCAGTTCAATATTCACTGTGTAATCGATTTAAAACATGTGATGGAGCAGTACCACGTGATACTATCAAAATATGAACTGCTCTATATATTCTCATGCAAGGATGAGAACTTAAAAGATATTAATTGAATTTTGATTTAAAGCTTTCGTGACTGCAGGGATTCATATTCTAGGTTATTTCGGTAAAGTCACGTAGAAGGGAAACAATAAAATAATATAAAAACAATAAAATTCTCACGACGTTTCGACTGCAACACAAGCAATCATCATCAGGTGTGAAAACCACAGCAAGATGATGATTGCTTGTGTTGCAGTCGAAACGTCGTGAGAATTTTATTGTTTTTTTATTTTTATTATTTTATTGTTTCCCTTCTACGTGACTTTACCGAAATTACCAAGAATATCGATATTAATTGTTTCCAACATGTATTGCTTAAAATGTTTTGATTGAAATAGAACGATTGTAAGTTAAATAAATCAAGTTATAATAATAAAAAAATAAAACAATTCCATTAAGAAATTAATAGGACTTTTCAAATCGCAAAACATCGTAGCCTTTGCGATTTGCTAATCGCATTGTTTCAAATTTCGATTTGAAATCGATTAATCGTTCAGCCCTACTGCAGAAGTGTCCGTACCTACATGGGCAGTGTGCTCACGAGCCAGCTCCGGTCTGGCAGGAGGAGGAGGTCTCACTCCAAGTCATTATCTCTTCATCAGCTTCGTAACGCGGTGTGGAAGCTCCGTGTGAAGCTTCGGGTCTTTCCAGTCACGGTTATGGCCCTCATGCTTGCGAAAACGTGGTGTATGAACCTCGTGGTGGTGGTTGTTATTGTGGGTGTATGAACCCCGTGGTGGTGGTTGTTGTGGTGGGTGTATGAACCCTGTGGTGGTGGGTGTATGAACCCCGTGGTGGTGGTGGTTGTTGTGGGTGTATGAACCCTGTGGTGGTGGTTGTTGTGGTGGGTGTATGAACCCCGTGGTGGTGGTTGTTGTGGTGGGTGTATGAACCCCGTGGTGGTGGTTGTTGTGGTGGGTGTATGAACCCTGTGGTGGTGGGTGTATGAACCCCGTGGTGGGTGTATGAACCCCGTGGTGGTGGTTGTTGTGGTGGGTGTATGAACCCTGTGGTGGTGGTTGTTGTGGGTGTATGAACCCCGTGTTGGTGGTTGTTGTGGGTGTATGAACCCTGTGGTGGTGGGTGTATGAACCCCGTGGTGGGTGTATGAACCCCGTGGTGGTGGTTGTTGTGGTGGGTGTATGAACCCTGTGGTGGTGGTTGTTGTGGGTGTATGAACCCCGTGGTGGTGGTGGTTGTTGTGGGTGTATGAACCCCGTGGTGGTGGTGGTTGTGGGTGTATGAACCCCGTGGTGGTGGTGGTTGTTGTGGGTGTATGAACCCCGTGGTGGTGGTGGTTGTGGATGTATGAACCCCGTGGTGGTGGTTGTTGTGGGTGTATGAACCCCGTGGTGGTGGTTGTTGTGGGTGTATGAACCCCGTGGTGGTGGTTGTTGTGGGTGTATGAACCCCGTGGTGGTGGTTGTTCTGGTGGGTGTATGAACCCCGTGGTAGTGGTTGTTGTGGGTGTATGAACCCCGTGGTGGTGGTTGTTCTGGTGGGTGTATGAACCCCGTGGTGGTGGTGGTTGTGGGTGTATGAACCCCGTGGTGGTGGTTGTCACCCTGTAGGTGGTGTCGGAGGAGCGGGGGGGCCATGACGCGCTGGGCGCGCGCTAACAACGCGCACAGGAAGCGGACGGGAGACGCCACTCCATGGGAGGTGCAGCAGCAGGAACAGAACCAGGAACAGAAGCAGGAACAGAACCAGGAACAGAACCAGGAACAGAAGCAGGAACAGAAGCAGGAGACGCGGAAGAAGGCAAAGAAGAAGGCAAAGTACGAGGACCCGGACGTGAATGGGTTCCTGGCGGCGCAGCGTGCGGCAACGGCGGAGGGAGCAGGCGGCGGCGGTGGTGGCGGCGGCGCCGGCGTGGACGCCGCCACCGCGGGGAAGAGGGAGCGGCGGCGCGAGGAGCGGAGACTGCGGAGGCAGCGCAAGAAGCTGGGGAACATGGTGGGGGGGGGGGGGGGTCTCGGGGTGTGTGGGGGGGGGGGGGTCCCGGGGTGCGGGGGGGGTCCCAGGGTGCGGGAGTCCCAGGGTGCGGTGCGAGGGTGTGGCGTGAAGTGAGAGTGCGGTGTGGCGCGGGTTCTCATCCGGCGTGAGAGTGCGGCGTCGGCAGGAGTGTGGTCTTGGCGAGAGCGCGGTGAGAATGCGTTGTGGTGGAGGAGGTGATTAAAAGTGCGGTGTGGTTGAGAGTGCGGTGTGCGCTTGGTGTGCGGTGCCCCAGGTGTGCTTCCAGTGCCGGGAGCCAGGCCACGGCGTGGCCGACTGCCCACGCGACCCCGAGTCCGGTGCCGGCATTTGCTTCCGCTGCGGCTCCACCGAGCACGAGCTGGGGGCCTGCCGGGCTCGCATAGACGCCCTCGCCGGTACTCGCCACGCTCGCCAATCGCACCAACCGCTCACCGACCACACTCGGCCACGCTAGACACCCACCAACCCGCGCTGACTACCCACACTCGCTGTTGACTAGTGTCGGGTGATGACGAGTGACGGGCGAGTGTTGCGGTGTGCGCACAGGGGAGCTGCCCTTCGCCAAGTGTTTCATCTGCGGAGAGATGGGTCACCTCTCTCGCTCGTGCCCGGACAACCCCAGGGGCCTCTACGCAACGGGTGAGGCCCTCACCACACCGCTCACCAACACGCTACATTCGGCCACCACGCACATCAACGCCATGCTCACCACCACCTCCGCTCACTGCCAGGACTGCCACTTCACCATTCCACAACCACACTCGCCATCACCACACCTGTACCAACACAACCATTACCACCGCCCCATCTGCTCGTCACGACCCCGCGACCCCGCCCGCTCACCGTGACCCCGCCCGCTCACCGTGACCCCGCCCGCTCACCGTGACCCCGCCCGCTCACCGTGACCCCGCCCGCTCACCGTGACCCCGCCCGCTCACCGTGACCCCGCCCGCTCACCGTGACCCCGCCTGCTCACCGTGACCCCCGCCCGCTCACCGCGCCCGCTCACCGTGACCCCGCCCGCTCACCGTGACCCCGCCCGCTCACCGCGCCCGCTCACTGTGACCCCGCCCGCTCACCGTGACCCCGCCCGCTCACCGTGACCCCGCCCGCTCACCGTGACCGCGCCCACTCACCGTGACCCCGCCTGCTCACCGTGACCCTGTGTCTGTAGGCGGTGGCTGCCGGGAGTGCGGTTCTGTGGAGCACTTCCACAAGGACTGCCCTGTGGCGAAGCACGGTGAGTGAAGCAGGAGCCACCTCCCCCGTGTTTGTGTCCCCTCCAGTGTCCCCGTCTCCTTGCTCCACCTCCTCCTCCACTCGACTCCTCTTGATGGCCGTGCGTCTACCTCTTCCACCGTTTCTATCTCCTCCACCCCTCCGTTGCCTGTCTCTACCCCCGGCGTCTGGCACCACCGTCTCTACCCCTTCCATCGTCCGTCTCGTCCACCATCACAACAACGTCCACCTCCACCACCGTCTCTACCCCTTCCATCGTCCGTCTCCTCCACCATCACAACAACGTCCACCTCCACCACCGTCTCTACCCCTTCCATCGTCCGTCTCGTCCACCATCACAACAACGTCCACCTCCACCACCATCGCTGTCCGTTTTGTCGATCTCCGTGTCACCGCCGCTCCCACCACCACCGCCAGGTCGGTCACAGCTCCGTGCCTCTGCGTGCAGGTGGCGCCGCGTCGGCGCTGACGCTCACCGTGTGGGAGGGGGGCGGCAGCGCCGACGCCGACCCGGTCCTGGAGGCCGAAGCCGCGGCCGCGGCCGCCAAAGCCCCTCGGACTGTCCGGGCCCCCGTGTCGTCACCTTCTAACGAGCTGTCGGCCGGCGCAGACGACGATGCAGAGAACGGCGCAGCAGGCAACGGCGCAGCAGGCAAGGGCGTAGCAGGCAACGGCGTAGCAGGCAACGGCGCAGCAGGCAACGGCGCAGCAGGCAACGACGCAGCAGGCAACGACGCAGGCGGCAACGACGCAGGCCCCTCGAAAACTTCCAGAAAATACATTTAATAAATAAACAGGAGGTTACAAAGAGAGGAGGCGGCGGGGGGCGGTAACGTCAGGCTTGCGAGCGAGTGGGGGGCACCATGGGTTTGGCAGAGCCCCCCCTCCCCGCAGGCCGCGCGCCCTGGGGGGGTGACGGGGGGGGGGGGGGACGCGGCGGGTGCGAGTTGGCGGCGAGTCCGCACGGTCGGCTTATTTACACGCGCGCGCTGCGGTCCATTAATAACGAGCAGGAGCAGGGGGGCACTGCCGCCCCCCTCGTAACCCCCCCCACACCCCCCCCCCAGGGAACGCGGCGCCGCCTAGACCACGGTGGTTCCCAAACGCGCCCCACTCATGGATCATAGCCAGAAGAGTTGTTCTGGGAGCCGTGCCCAGTGAGGCTGCGTGGGTGACCAGCAGCGGTGGCTGCTGGTGACGTGTGGAGGATGTACGAGAGCACCAACTCCCCAACACTTGTCCAATAACAGGGAAACCCCCCCCCCCCCCCTCCAACACGGGTGTTGGAGGAAGCCGCCCTGTTTGTAAAGGTTGTTAGTGCGGTGCGTAGGGTGGGTGTGCAGTTGGGAAGGAACAGATGCACAGACATAGAAAAACCCCCACGTAGCCTTAACGGCATGTTGGAGGAAGCGCCGTTAGCCGACACCTATGAAGGCTGGTACGGTGCTCCATGCCCGACTGCCTTTGTCTCCCCAATAGTGATGATTTTTACACACTGCACCAGGTGTTCATTTGAGGCTGAGTCGACCTAGGCGAGGACCAGGACCGGTTCAGATAACCGTCACCAGTGTTGGGCGTGAGTGGGAACCGAAACCCTGGGTGGCCCCACAGATTTACAAAAGACAAAGACCCCCCCCGTGTAGCCTGAACAGACAGTTGAGGCAAGTGCTGTTAGCGAGCACCTATGAAGGCCGGAACAGCACACGAGGGGGTGGGTGGCCAACACCACGCCCGGCCGCCTTTGTCTCCCCAGTGGCGATGTTTTTACGCACCAGCACCAGGTACTCATTTAAGGCCGAGTCAATCTAGGCGAGGCCCAGGTCCGGATCAGATAATCGTCACCAATGTTGGCCGCGAGCAGGAATCGAATTCAGGTGGCCAGGTTTGTCACGCAGCGCGCTAACCGCTGCACCACCGCTCCCCACAGATACACAAGCACACACTCATGCAGTTGGGCAAATGCCTGCCCTGGTTGCTGGTAAGCCCCTTTGCTCTGGAGGAGATCGGAGGAAGGGAGCTATCACGAATTTTCTCTCTCCTGCACCCTTGTGGACAGCGGCGTGGAGATGCAGCAGAACTCGAAAGTTTGAGCAAGAGAGGTTGTTGAGAAGCACTGCGGTTAACACGGCAAACCACACCATACCAGCAGCAGCAGAATAACCACGCGCGGGGAGTAATCTCGTTCACTTTTTCAGGAACGAGATGTATTGTCATTAATTTAAAAATAAAAAAATATGTACTTTCACTGTTCCCTTGACCCTCAATCCATGATAATCTCCCACGACCCCCACAGTTTGGGAACCACTGCAACACTGTTAGAGGCCTTTTAGAGACCCACGGAAACCAACTTATTTCACTCCTAAAGGACTCGCAGAAGCCGCGTGGCACACACCACCCCCCCTCGCGTCTCCGGCAGGCCGGGACCGCTTGTGCTCAGAGTCTGGGATGGAGTGACCGAGTGATGGTTTAGACAGTGCACGGTTAAAGAGTCACACGCGTGTATTTACAGCGTTGCATGTGTGTAGCAGTTAGTGTCACGGGTGTCAGTGTAGCAGTTTGAGCGCCACACGTACGTGTGTGAAGTAGTAGCCACAGCCTTGCACAACACGTGTAATTGTGGTTGTGCTTGTGGTAGTCGTGTAAGAGGTAGTCGCGTGTGACCAACCGTTACACTCGTGTGTAGTCGCGTATGAGTGTGGTAGTCAGATGTGCGAGTGGCCGTCACTTGTGTGACAGCGGTGGTCACGTGTGACAAATTGTTACACGTGTGTGTGTGTATAGCAGTCTAGTGTGAGTGATGGTCACGTGTGAGTGATGGTCACGTGTGAGTGATGGTCACGTGTGAGTGATGGTCACGTGTGAGTGCGCTGCACGGCAGGCGGGTGACACCGTCACGTCTGGCGCTCCACCGGCTGTTTCAGAGACAGCTCGCTCCCGGCTGAAATGATTGGCAGCTGGTTGTCACGGTGATAGCCAATCAGGTGACTGACGCTGTCGAAGCGGCGGTCCTTGGTGCGCACCTGCGCTCGCACACAGCAGTGGAGGTCAGAGGGGGCAGTGGGGGTCAGAGGGGGCAGTGGTGGGACGGCCAACAGTGGAGGTCAGAGGGGGCAGTGGTGGGACGGCCGACAGTGGGGGTCAGAGTGGGTGACCAACAAGGTGAATGAGTGGGCAGTGGGTGAGTGTTCAGGTGGGGACATGGTTCAGGTTGTCGAGTGGCAGGAGTGTGCACATGGGAGAGCTGGGGGGGGGGGGGCAATAGCTGAGCGTTTGTGCGGGTGAGCGTTTGAGCGGGTGAGCGTTTGAGCGCTTGAGCGAGCGAGCGGGTGAGCGTTTGAGCGGGTGAGTGAGCGAGTGAGCGTTTGAGCGGGTGAGTCACCACTCCGTGGGGGTCGACGAGCAGCAGGTGTTTGCCGTGCTGCTGCTGCAGCCCCGTGAGGACGTACTGGCCGCGGCTCGTCATCGACTCCCTCACTAGGAAGTCTCCATCCTCCTGCAACCACCGCCACCGTCATTACGACAACCACCACCACCTCGTCACCACCACGAGCAAGACCTCGTTAAAGAAAATTGTGATTCTGTTACACCGAACCCCTTGTGTGTGTGGGTCAGCGTGTGGGTGGGTGTGTGGGTGACTGTGAGTGTGCGGGTGGGTGAGTGTGCGGGTGGGTGAGTGTGTGTGCGGGTGAGTGAGTGTGTGAGTGAATGTCTGCGAGTGAGTGGGTGGGTGAGCAGGCGGGTGAGTACGCGTGCGGGTGAGCGTGCCTGCAGGAGCTGCTCCGCGTCGTGCCGGCTCATCTTGCCGTGGTACCAGCGCTCGCGCCGCAGAGCCTCCTCCATGGAGGAGGAGGCGGTGGCGGGGGGAGGCGGGGGGGAGGAGGAGCCGGGGGGCGTGGGGGAGCCCCCTCCCCTGTCGGGGAGGGGGGGCGAAACCCCCTGCTGCTTCAGCGCGTCCTCAAACGGCCCTGGGGTCGGGGGGCATCACCACCACTGAGGGTGAGCATGTGGGTGAGCGTGTGGGTGAGCGTGTGGGTGAGCGTGTGGGTGAGGATTAGCGTGTGGTTAACAGTGGATATGCGAAGGTGAGCGTGTGGGTGAGGATGAGCGTGTGGGTGACGGTGGATATGCGAGGGTGAGCGTATGGGTGAGCGTGTGGGTGAGCGTGTGGGTGAGCGTGTGGGTGAGGATTAGTGTGTGGGTGAGGATTAGCGTGTGGGTGAGGATGAGCGTGTGGGTGAGCGTGTGGGTGACGGTGGATATGCGAGGGTGAGCGTGTGGGTGAGCGCGAGGGTGAGCGTGTGGGTGACGGTGGATATGCGAGGGTGAGCGTGTGGGTGAGCGAGTGGGTGAGCGAGTGGGTGAGCGCCGGCGGTCGTTGCTCACTCATGTCGAAGGCGTCTCTGTGGGGGGGCTGTGTCACCCCCCTCGCCGCGCACGGCACGTGTGTGTTCACGTACGTGTGCTCCCCCACCGCTCCTGCAACATACGTGGTGGGGGGGGGGCCCGTGAGACCCCCAACAGCGACCCCCGACCCACCCCGCGACGCCCCCCCCCCCCACCCACCGTGACACGGAGGCACAGAATGCATCCGACTCTTCAGCCTTGCCCGCGGTCCCGCCACTGATGTTCATCTTTAGTGGGCGTTGTAAAGCCGCCATTAGCACAGCCTGGGACTCGCAGCTCCCTACACGACCCCCCCCCCACCCCTTCATTATTTTGTTCAGAAGAGGAGCCACTCCCTGTTGTTTGTCAGTTCCCTACCACGAGCGGGGGGGGGGGGCGACTTGGTGACGGTTGCCAGAGGCTGTCCACCAGAGGTCCCAGGCGGTACTGACCCGACTCCAGAGGCCTTGAACATTCCCTGTTAACACCCAGAGTGGTTCCCCCCCCTCCCCCTGCTGTATCTGGAGGAACACCGAGGGGGGATCCAGTCTCGTGGCTCCGCCACGTGAACGTATTGGCGGTACACTGGTGCCGCGGCATTTAAAAAATTAAAGCGTCTACATTTATTGAATTTATTCTCCCGTGCTTTCGCGACCCCGGTCAGAAAATCTCGCGGCGGCGGCGGTGGCGGTGGCGGTGCCTCAAGATCAGAAGACGAACGTTTGCATCAGCGGCCGAGCACGAAGCTTCGCAGGCTGTTGCTGTATAGCGGCAAGCACCCAGCGGGATGACGATCGGCTTCCTTGCGTAGCACAACGCAAGGAAGCTGCTGCTGCTGCTGCTGCTCCTTCTGCTCCAGGCGCTCGCCCTGAATAACTATAATTTGTTTTATTTTACCTGTTAAGACCCACTGAGATCTTAATCAGAAGTGATTTGGCCACAAATGAAGTGGAGGCAAAAACCCGGAGGGCCCCGAGAAAATTCCACGCGACCAAGGGGAGAACGAAAGAGACACGCAAACTCCAAATCTACAGGAGTCGGGGTCGGAATCGAACCCACGACCTCCTGTGTACCGGATGAGGTAGTTAACATCTCCGAGCCAACGTGGCGCCCCAAGCCTTTGAATCACCTCAGACTTGGTGACAGGGTCAATTCGTGACTGACAAACAGATTCAAGTTTTAGATTTTTGTTTGTGATGCCGCCAACAGGTCCAAATGGGGGCTTGGCCAGGAGAAGTCTCGTAGATGCCCGTCCCGCCGCGGAGACCACGAGGGGGAACAGCTGATTGCTATCAGCTGTTCCTCCCCATAGCGTCGCTCGGAGCCACCGCAGCAGCAGCAGCGACCGGCAAGCACCACAGCGGAGGTTTAACACGTTGCACCGGCTACACCGCACCAGGTGCTCATTTGAGGTTGAGTCGACCTACAGGAGGCCCAGGACCGGTTCGGATAATCGTCACCGGTGGTGTCGGCCGTGAGCGGGAATCGAACTCGGGTGGCCGGGTTCGTAGCGCAGCGTAGCGCTGACCGGTACGCCACTGCTCACCCCCACGCGCAACAAAGACAAAGATTCCCGGTATAACCTGAACGGGCTGTTGGGGCAAGTGCTGTTAGCGAGCACCTATGAAGGCTGGCACGGCACACGAAGGAGGTGGGTGGCCAACATACGTACAAACGGACACACGGATCAACACACGCGTCAACAGACTCACGCGCACATACACACACACTTGTGCAAACACACACTCTCGCGCGCACACACACGGGCCAACACACACACGGGCCAACACACACACTCGCGGAGACACAGGCACACACGGGTCGTGACCTATGCCGGGGCGACAGTGAGGGCGAGTGGGAGCCGGGCGTTGCCGGCGAGGGCCCGGTAAGGCCGGCGTGGTTGGGAACCCCCCCCCCCCACCTGTGTATCCGTGTGGGGTCCTCTTCACGTCGCCCCCCCGCGTGTCGGAGCCCGGCCTGGGGCCGGCTTCCTCCCCGCCGCCCGCAGCCTGCGGCAGCACACAGAAACACAAAGACGAAGATTCCCCCCCCCCCCCATAGCCTTAACAGACTGTTGGGGCAAGTGCTGTTGGCGAGCAGCAGCTACTATGAAGGCCGGCACGGCACACGAGGGGGTGGCTGGCCACCACCATCACCCCCAGCTGCCTTTGTTTCCGAGTGGCGATGTTGACACACGGCACCGGGTACTCATTCGAGGCCGAGTCGACCATGGGGAGGCCCGTGATCGGTTGAGATCATC